GGGGGAGAAGGGGGTGGGTGCTGCTTGTGGTTTAGTTTTTTTTTTTTTTTTTTTTTTTTTTTTTTTTTTAATTCAATCTGGAATCAGAAAGTGGTGGATTCTGGCAAATGGTCCTTGTGCCCTCCCCACTCAGCCCTGGTCTGGTCCCCTGTTGCCCATAGCCCTTTACCCTGAGCACCACCCCAACAGACTGGGGACCAGCCCCCTCCCCTGCCTGTGTCTCTCCCCAAACCCCTTTAGATGGGGAGGGAAGAGGAGGAGAGGGGAGGGGACCTGCCCCCTCCTCAGGCATCTGGGAGGGCCCTGCCCCCGTGGGCTTTACCCTTCCCTGCGGGCTCTCTCCCCGACACATTTGTTAAAATCAAACCTGAATAAAACTACAAGTTTAATATGAAGCCCCCAACTCAGCTGCTTATTTGAATTAAATGGGTATTTTTGGAAGCTACAAAAAGACTGAACTCTGCCACTGAGTTCACTGGAACCCGCTGTCTATCACTTGACTTGCTGTGGACCTGCCAGTCATCCCCCCACCCCCCAAGCAGCCTTGACCTATTCCAGACAGTTGGGTGGGAGGCAACACAAACAGCAGCAGCCAGGGTCAGTGGCAGGTAGATTTTATTGGCCTGGGACACACGGGGGGTACCCTCACCCACAGTGGGGCAGTGGGCATGATGTTGAAGATATAATCTGATGGTCACTTGTGGTAGAATCGCGGGTTCTGGCTGTGTTGGATGAAGGGGAGCCGAGGGCCAGGTTGGCTGGTAGCTGCAAAGCCCGACTGGCGGTGGTGATGAAAAGAGGGCTTTGTCACACTGGGCGTACTCTCCCACTTAATGCCCTACTGGTAACCACCCCCAGAGAGGAAGAAAAACCAGGTGATGTGGGCCACCGGTCCTACCTAATCCTGCTTTTCTGGATCCCTAGTGTAGGGATTCTGACAGGTAAATTTTATTATCATTCTTACCTTTCCTGCTGGTTGCATCTGCACAGGGAGCTGTGGGGAAGCAAGGAGTCCAGGGGCTGGATGCAGAGCCTGGGGGTGCATGGGGCGCAGAGAGGACTGCAGAGAAAAGAGGGCCTGAGGCATACTGAAGCTCCCCTTAACATATCCCTAACCCTGACCTCCCAAGGTGCCATACTCACTGAGTCGGAGAAGCCAGTCTGCTGGTTAGCATGTTCCATCTGCTTTTGCAAGGACAGGGCACCACCAGGCTGGAGGAAACCTACGTGGGCAAGAGGGGCGTGTGAGATGAGAATGAAACAGGGAGGGGAGGACCCAGAGCTAGAGCTCCTGCATGGGATGTTATCACCTGTCTGAGTGGGCTGAAAGTGGCCGTGCACGGCATAGGGCTGTGGCTGTGGCTGAGATAGGTACTGCACTGCAGGGAATGCTGAAGGAGCTGAGAAAGGAAAAGACAGAGCCATTAAAACCTTTTACTCAATGGCATTCCTCCTTTGACGTTGAGGAAGGCCAAGCCCCATCCCTCCTATTACTCACCTCTGAGCTGCTGACTAGGACTATAAGCTGGCTGTGTGGGCCCATAGTGAGGTGGGGGCTGAGCAGTCCCATAGGCACCACCAGGACTGCCTTGGAATTGTCCATGCTCTGGTGTCCCCGCAAAAGCAGCTGCTGAGCCCACATAGTGCCGGGTCTAAGGAGGGAGAATGAGAATTCGCCTATAAACTTGAAAGCTGAAACCCAGTGACTTGTGTATATCTGTATGCCCCATTTCCCCCTAAACTTAAGTGCTTGATATGTTTGTGAGTTGAATACTGGTGGCAAGGATGCATGGATGGAAGCAATAGGGGCTGGGCATCCAATCCTACTCTCACCGTAAGCACTTGGGGTCCAAACATTTGTTTGGCTCTGTCAGCTGCCATGAGGGTGCCTGGGCGATTGTGTCCTCCAGGGCTCCCTAGAAAGGGAGAAGGGCTTCATGATGCTGAAATGGGGGGCTGCAACCTGTAAGAAGGCCGGTTCCATCAGGTGGTCTCTTTAGTCCTCACCCTGCATGCTGAGGAGATGAGTTCCTGTGTGGACAGTCAGGCTCTGCTGGTATGCGGCTGATGTCAGGGTGGTCAGGTCACTGGAGTGAGAGGAAGGCAGGTCAAACCCAAGGACAGATGCCTTCTCTTTCGCCATTAAACACTAGTTCTTTTATTACTTGATCCCAGTTCCACTTGGCCCCCATTTCAGTTTTTAGCACTCTGATCCCACCTCTGTTCCTTTCGCCTCCGTTTCTCTTCCTCATGTAAAACTTTCTTGAGCTGCAGGAAAAGCTGATGCTTCTCTTCCTGTAGGGCCAAAAGCTTCTCCTCCAACTTCAGAATCTGGGAGGGAGTGGGAAGAGAAGATGAAGGCAGGGAGAGTCAAGGGAAGAAATCAAAGCTGGGAGAGTTCAAGGGACTGCTTACTTGTTCCTTGGTCTCCTCTAGTGACATTCTCTCTTCCATCTCCTTTTTCTTCCTTCTCTCCTGTTCTTCTTTCATCTTCTGTTCCATCATCTTATCCACCTCTTCTTCCTCTGGAGAATCAGGCAGAATGAAGAAGAGGCAGGGTAGTGAAAACAGTTCCAACGTTAGATTGAAGACCAGCAAAACCCACTCATCCCAACACGCCTGTGCGCTCTTTGCCTCGAGGGGACAAGCTCCCCCATCGCTGCAATAGGGAACGGAGAGGCTTTATCAGGTGCTCTCCAAGGTCCTTCCCGTCTCAAGGGTTCTGGAGCGTGGACCAGGACGCTTAAATCCCACCACAACGGGGCTATTCCTTCCCTCCTCTGCGCTCGGCAGCGGGCTCACTGGTTGGCCGCTGGGTTGAGGCCAACCCTGAGGTACAGGAGCCATTCTGGGCCGTGTGTCCCCCCGCTATGGCCCCGGCTCACCCTGCCGCTTGCGCTCCCGCTCCATCATAATGTGCCGGTGCAGCGCCCTGGCCATGGCGTTGGAAAGCTTGGGGCGCTCCAGGAGTGCGGGCATGGTGCTGCCGTGGGCGCTCGGGCCGTGGGCGCCCGGCTCTGTCTCTGACTGCCAGACCTCAGACGGCGCCTGCGGGAAGGCGGGCGCTCAGAGGGGGCCGCGCCCGGCCCAGGCGGAAGCCCGTCCGCCCGACCCGCTCGCCGCCCCGGTCACGTGTCCCAGGAGCCCGCCACCCAGCCGGGCCCGCAGCCCCCGCTCTACCGCGCGAGCGGGCGGCGCCGGGATCCCCGACTCGGTGCTGCCGCTCCCTGCCCAGCCAGCCCGGACACCAGCCCTCCCTACCCGCCTTCTCTGCGCTTTCTCAGCAGCTCCGGCGCGCCCTGGCCCGTGCGTCACATCCGGCGGCCCGGCCAAGTCCTTCCGGAGTCACGGCTGCGGCCGACCTCACGGGTTGGGTGAGAAAGCGGAAGCGCGCTGCGACGGGTGCCCGCGGCGTCCAAACCCCGTAGCCGGGAACGCGGGCGACGAGGGCTGTAAACTGGTCTTGGCATCCTCACCTCTCTTTAATTTCGCGGGCCCACCTGGTGGCACCCCAGGGGACGCGGGCTCCGGAGAGGGGCGCGCGAGAGAGAGGCCGAGGCGGAGGCTCTGAGACGATGTTTATTGGCTCCTTAGAAATCAGAGTCAGTAACAACTGTACAGAGGCCCCCATCTTCCGTGCGCCCACCCTTCCCCACTCCCGCCCGGTGGCCCCGGAAAAAGCAGCTTCATGTGGGCACAGGGGGAGACTCCTCTGGGATTCACAGTAACCAGAAACAAAAACGGAAATAAATTAAGTGATGTGGGGAAGGGGAGTAAAAGGGAGTCATGTTCCCCAAATCAGTGCATGAAGAGGGGTACCAGGGCCTGGAGCTGGGCTCCCATGGCTCCTCCCATCAGACGGAGTGCTGGGCCTCCAGACATGGAGCTGTGCCACTTGCCACCTACATCTGAGAGCCTGCCTACATGCTCCTGCGCGGCTGCCAAGCTCCAGCACCTGCGCATGCCACGAGTCACGGGAATGAGGTGGAGGCAGTCGCCAGAGTCCATGGGCCCGAGGCCCGACTGTGCTTGTAGTATTTGTGTCTGACCCCTCATTCCACCCGTACCAGCAGGGCATAGAGGAGTGTGGCCCCCTTCTCCTTAGTGACCCACTCAAGTTCGGCTGGACTGAAGTGAGGGTCAGGAGGTTCTCCAAGGGCAGCGGAAGGGGGTCCCGGGGTGTAGGAGCCAGGGCGCACACACACCTGGAACGCCACCTGAGCCTGGTGCGTCCGCTGGGATTTGGGGTCCCGGAATCTGTCAAACAGGAAAAAATAAGGGAGTGAAGCTTCTCTTCCCATCACCTCCCCCTTGCAAAGTCTGTTCCAACCACACAAGCCTTGCTGTACCTAGGAAATACTCCCGCCTTATAGGAACTTCACTCTAGCTGTTCTTTCTACCTGAAATGTTCTTCCTCCCAAAGCCTGCTCAGCTACACCCTTCACTTCCTTCTTCAAGCCTTTGCTCGAATCTCTCCCACCTTCTTACGATGCCCACACCAGCCACACTGCTGTCTCCTTCGCCCCACTCTTTCCTACGATGCCCACACCAGCCACACTGCTGTCTCCACCCCACTTTCTTACGATGCCCACACCAGCCACACTGCTGTCTCCTTCGCCCCACTCTTTCTTTGTTTCCATAGTCCTTACTTATTACCTTTAAAAATACTAAATACTGGCCGGGCACGGTGGCTCACGCCTGTAATCCCAGCGCTTTGGGAGGCCGAGGCGGGTGGCTCACGAGGTCAGGAGATCGAGACCATCCTGGCCAACATGGCAAAACCCTCTCTCTACTAGAAAAGTTAGCCGGGCTTGGTGGCACACGCCTGTAGTCCCAGCTACTCAGGAGGCTGAGGCAGGAGAATCGCTTGAACCCGGGAGGTGGAGGTTGCAATGAGCCGAGATCATGCCACTGCACTCCAGCCTGGATGACAGAGCAGGACTCCGTCTCAAAAATAAATAAATAAATAATAAATACTTATTATGTATGAACATTATAGAGAGAAAAGGCAGAGGTTCCACAAGAACAAGGTTCCTTTTCTTGCCCACTAGAAGAGTATATAAGTGGTATTTGTTCAATGAATGAAAAAAGGGCTGAGTTGGAGACTGGCAGCTAGCAAGAGGAGGTGAGAAAAGGGGAGGGCAAATCATGAAGACTCCAGTGGCTGCGCTCAGGCCCTCTTCATCCGAGCCCCTGGAGATCTCTCCCCACCCCTCCCAGTACTCACTGCACTTTGGAGGCCAGGGTCTCGGCCCCAGCATATTGAAGGGAGGGGGAAAGCAGCACAGGAGGGGGCTGCTCCTCCCGAGGAGGTGCACAGTTCTCGCCAGGCTCCTCGAACCCTACCCCAGGCTCTCCCTTCAAAGGACGGCAGCTCAGGATGGAAGCAGTACCTGGGAGGAGAACTGGGTCAAGATAGCCCTTTTTATTCCTCCACAGCCCCCCAGGCTCAGCCCACCTTGCATGGGCCTGCTCCCCAGTACCTGCTCCCAGCTCCCCTCGGTCCAGCACTCTCCGTACAGCTGCAACATTGCTCCCATGATAGGCCATGTGCCACTTCTTGGTTAGTGTCCCAGCCTCCAGGCGGGGATTCACTCTACGAGGTGGACAAGCGGGGCAGATAGAACGAAGGACACTGGCTCCCCAGTGGAGGAGCTTCACGAGGCTCTTCCTTAGGCAGGAAGTTCCTGGCACTTCCTGGCTTTTCCTTAGACAGGAAGTTCTATCACTTCTTCCATGCACCTTCTTGGGATCTCCATTTCTCCAGGGGGAAAACAGTAGGGGAAAGGCATGACCCTGCCCGTATGTACCTGAGGTTGAACCTGCACCAGCCAAAGGGCAGTGCGTATTCCCGGGGAGGCTCCCCTCTGCGCCTGTGGGCCTCGTCTCCTCGCAGCTTCCGGCAAGACTCACAGTAGCACAGGCTTCGCTTTGGCGGAGGCATGAAATAATCTTCTGCGGGACAGTAAGTAGCAGGCTTGGTGCTGTGGCTCCCACCCTTGATCTCAGCCACACTGGCACCCTTCAGCTGCTCTCCACGGCTCTGGGCCTGGCCCTGGGGATGAAGTCAGTTCTGGGGACCGGGACTCACCAGGAAGCAGCAGGAGTTCTCGGAAGCGAGAGCAAAGGGCATGGTACTCGCAGCTCTTCAGAGGACTAGCGGCGGGTGGTGGGCCCCAGCACACACTCTCTTTGATGCCTGAGGGAGCAGAGGGGCACAGGTCACAGGAGCCAGGCTAGAAGGGTAGGGGCAGGGGAGTAGGGGCAGGAGCGGGGTCCCTTTGGGCTGGCACACCGTCCACCATGTCTGCTTTCTCCATGTCCCCTTGGGTTCCAGCACTTTTCCCACTGGCAGCCCCTGGCTCAGGGTTCACGATTGTCACCTGCAGGGGAGAGGGTAGTCAGACAGCTTGGTCAGACCCCAGGGCCTGATGATCCTGGAACAGAGACTTCCCCGTCCTGGACGGCCCAGACTCTTAGGCACCCCTCCTCCCTGCCCCCACTGCCACTAACCTGCTCACACTGCCCATAGAGGTCCACAAGCGCGTGGCAGGGCTGGGGCACATCTGGCACAGCTACCCCCTGGTCCACCCCATTAACGTGGAGATGCAGCCCCCCAGAGCTGTCCAGCCGCAGTCCCAGGATGGTGCCTTCAGGGCACGTGTCCAGATTCGGCCCAAACTTCTCACAGATCTGGGAGGAGAGACCGGCTGTCTTCCAGAGGTCACACTCCACCACAGCAGCCGTCCTGCCCTTTGCTCTGCTCCCTGCTGCCAGCGCCTTGGCTTTGCCTCCACGCTTGCCTGCTGCCGAGACTCTCCTCCCGCTGCAGTTACCTAGAGCCCCTCCTCTTCCCCAAAACTGGCACATTCTCAACGGCAGGGACACCGCAGGAAGCAGCAGGCCTAAAACTGACCAGGCAACGCCACTCACCCTTGCCTGCCCATTGCTGTCCCCCTTTTACACCTGTGGTCCTACCTCCAAGGCTAGGGGTCCACTTCTCCCTTCTGGCCAGCCCTTCCCTACACACAAGCCTGGTCCCGCCCCTTCTCTATGGCTCCTACTCACCTTGAGACCGTTGTGGAAGACCCCACGGCCCCGCAGCAGCCAGGCTGCCCGTTTGAGGGCACAGGCAGAAGCAGGGAAGTTGAGCCTCTCAGGCGCGCAGGTGATGACTCCCAGGACAAGGGAAGACGTCCACTGTCGGTTTAGGAAATCTATCCGCACCTGGGGAAGAAGGAACTACTCCATAATCACAGCCTCCTGGGAAAAACCAGGCTCGACCCCCCGCCAGGGAGGGAATACTGCACCTCCCAAAATGTGGCCTGGGATGCTGCCTTTTCTTATGCATGGAAGGACCAGAAAATGCAAATTTAGTTGTTTATTTCCCTTTTTTTTTTTTTTAAATAATAATAAAAAAAAGAACCATCAGCCGGCATGGTGGCCCACACCTGTAATCCCAGCACTTTGGGAGGCTGAGGCGGGTGGATCACCTGAGGTCAGGAGTTTGAGACCAGCCTGAGCAACATGGCGAAACCCTGTCTCTACTAAAAATACAAAATTAGCCAGGTGTCGTGGCACATGCCTGTAATCCCAGCTACTCAGGAGGCTGAGGCAGGAGAATCGCTTGAACCCGGAAGGTGGAGGTTGCAGTGAGACGAGGTCGTGCCACTGCATTCTAGCCTGGGCAACAAGAGCACAACTCCATCTCAAAAACAAAACAAAACAAAACCCTGTTTGAGCTGTGACCTTGCTGTTGCCTCTGTAACGATCTGTCAGGATTCTTATTCGTAGGACTTCCTTCATCTAGCTAGCTTTTTTTTTTTTCTTTTTTTTTAGAGACAAGATCTTGCTCTGTCTCCCAGGCTAGAGTGCGGTGGCGTGATCTCGGCTCACTGTAACCTCTGCCTCCCAGGTTCAAGTGATCTTCCCACCTCAGCCTCCTGAGTAGCTGGGATTATAGGCTCGTGCCACCATGCCTGGTGAATTTTTGTATTTTTTTGCAGAGACAGAGTTTCGCTATATTGCCCAGGCTGGTCGCAAACTCGTGAACTCAAGCGATCCGCCTGCTTTGGCCTCCAAAAGTTCTGGGATTACAGGTATGAGCCACTGTACCTGGGCTCATCTGGCTAACTTTGATATATCTTTCAGTTTGTAGCAAAAAGGCACCTTCTTCTGGAAAGCCCTCTCTGCTCCCACATATAGGATCAGGCATTTCCCTTGGACTCCTCCAGCCTGTCCCTACTGCTTCCCTCACCGATCGCCAGGTAGGGACTTCGTGGTAACTGACTGACAAACCCCATTACAGGCTATGAATAAAAGCCCAGAAAGCTCATCCAAGTGGCTTGCTTTCTTTTTCTCCACCCAAAAAGGCCTTTCTTCAGGAGGGTTGGCCATGGGTCACTGTGGAGCGAGAGGAGCTGGGGACAGGGAGGGAGAGCCCACCTGGACCAGCAGCTGGGGCACCAGAGGCTGGTTGATGACAACGATGCCCTGATTGTAGCTGGCCACCCGTGTGGCTGTACGATTCCCGTTAGACAAGAGGATATTCTTCCCGTGGTTCTCCAGGAACTCGAGGGTGGGGGGTATAATACCCACTTCATTCTGGCCCTGGTGTGGAGGAAGAGACTAAGCTGCATGGGTTGCCAATGCCAGGACCGACCCACCCCACTGGAGTTGGCACAGACCCTGAGTGTGAGCCTCCACCCAACGACCAGAGAACCCAAAAAAGGCCTGGCATCCAACGGCCCAGCAACTGCCCATCCACGTGCACAGCAGGCCATGCTGCAGCCTCTTACTCCCAGGCCATGCTCCTCGCCCTCGTCATCCTCCTCGCCCTCACTGCCGGTGTCTGAACTGGGGGAAGGAGGCTGGGTGCCTTCTGACTCCTCCAGCCTTGTGGAACTGACAATTGACACACTGCGGACTGGCCCGTAGAGATCCAACACAGCCCACACGTTCTGGGAGGCACACAAGACCCAGAAAAATCAGAGATCAGCGGAAGACCTCAACCATCCTCCCAAAACCCAAGGAAGCATTCAGGTCTACCTTGGCAATGCCAGTGGCTGCAGGCCCCATATCCTCTCCATCCACCAGGATGTGCATCGTGTCATCTGCCCCCCGACGAACACCCACACGGCTCCCCACCTAGGACCAAGGCAGGACAAAGACAGATGATGCTCAGCCCACCCCTCCCTGCCACCGCCACTCCCAACCCCTCCCCTGTCCCTGGAGCCAGCCACTTCACCCCCAGCCTCTCTAGGTTCCGGCCATAGTTCATCCTCTGGAGCTGCCCATCACGCCTCACTTCACAGCTGGATACCATCCAAGTGGTCTTCGTCCGGAGCTCTGGCAGGGAAGGAGGCAGCCCTGGGCCACTGCCACCTGCTCCGGGTCCCATCTCCCCCGGGGCTAGTGTGGTCAGTCCCAGCCGCAGGGAACCTGCCCACTTCTCATCTAGCTCTTCCACTTTCACCTATGAGACAGAGACAAGATGAGCTGGCCCTGTCGCGATGGGCCTGGCAGCCCCTCTGTCACATCGCTACGGCCTACCTCAAAGACTTCCTCAGCCCTCAGCTCCTTGGTACTGAAGACAAGGCCATGAGCATAGCCAGCGGCACGCACCGCCCTCGTGCCATCCTCCTCTAGAGTGACATTCTTGCCGCAAGTACTGTGGAATCGGTGAGCCACGCCAGCCACTGTGAAAAGATGGCACCAGAGGAAGGGGTAGGACTGGGGCAGCAAGCTTCAGATGGAACAGAGCAAAGCTTTCAGATGAAACGAGATGGGGACACCAACGCCCCATCTGCCATCTGCCATTACTCCTCAGGGCCTCCTGACACCTCTTTATTGTATTTTTTTTTTTTTTTTTTTTTGAGGCACGGTCTCGCTCTGTCACTCAGGCTGGAGTGCAGTAGCACAATCACGGCTCACTGCAGCCTCGACTTCCTGGGATCCAGCGATCCTCCCACCTCAGCCTCCCAAGTAGCTGGGACCACAGGTGCACGCCACCGCAACTGCCTAAATTTTGTATTTTTGGTACAGACGGGGTTTCGCCGTGTTTCCCAGGCTGGTTTCAAACTCTTGTGCTGGAGCAATCCACCCGCCTTGATCTCCCAAAGTGCTGGGATTACAGGCATGAGCTACTGCGCCCAGCCCTGATACCTCTTTTCACCACAGCAAGACTCATTTCCAAACCTAGCATGCTCAGTTTATGGTGTCCTGGCCCCTTGGTGGCAGGGAAGTGTCCAGGCTCTAAGTACCAGGTGCAACCTCCCCCTTACTGGCTGCTTGCCACCGTGGGCTGTCCCTTCCCTTGAGCCGGCAGCTACCCCAGCCAACCGTCTTTGCACAGCTGCTGTAACCTGGAAGCCCTACTCCTCAGGCGCACAGCAGGCAAGCAGAGCCCATCCAGCCCCCGCCCGGCTGCCGCACCTGGGGAGTGCAGTGGGAAGGACTTCTCGGTGGCAGTGTTGCTGGTCGCCAGGCTGTTGTCCATGGGGCCGGTGGCATTGGTGATGGACACTTGGACACACTGGCCATAGAGATCAACTACGGCATACACCTCTGGGGAGGAGAGGGAAAGTCAGAAGCCTGACAGCCAGGTGGTCTGGGCTGAGGGTGGCAGGCTGAAAGCCACATAGTCACCTTTACCCGGAGGCAGGCCCGAGCAGGCAGCGCCTTGGTCCTGGCCATTGATGAAGTAGTGCAGATCGCCCTTGGCAGTTCGCATCATGCCAATGCGTGCACCTGTGCCCAGCGCATCCAGGTCACACCCGTAATTGTTGCGCATCGTGTTACCGTCTTGCATGATGGCTGTACCACTGGGGGGATGGCAGAAGGGGTGAGTCAGCCTGCCAGCTTCAACTTCACATTGGCCCCCGCCCACTCCCTGCCTGTCAGAACCTTCCAATGCCTTGGGCTGGGGTCTTGATCTGAGGGTAAGGCCCAGTCCTATCTCCTTTGTCCCTGGGATCCCCTCGGGGAAAAGCAAGAACTACCTAAGATGAAGGAGGACTGAGCCCCTGTGGGCCTGAGCAGGGCTTCCCAGAATCCAAGAGAGGGGACAGGCAGATCCCCTAGGTCTGTCACTGCCCACAGCCACCATAGGCCGAAACCTTGCTTCCCTGATCCCAGCCAGCTCCACCCAGCCCCAAGCTGGCCCCCAAAGCAGGAAGCCCAACCTCAGCATCCATGTGTCATAGTCAATGTCTGTCATGGTGTTGGGGAATTCCAGGTCTTCAGGCCGAATAGCAGTCACTCCTGGGAGGAGGCAGAGGTAAGTCAAGGCCGATCCCCCAAGGCACAGACATCCAACGGCCCCCAACACACACAGACGCCCCTCACCAGCCTCAATGGAGCCTGACCAGCGGTCCACCATCTTCTGAATGACAATTTCAAACAGCTCTCCATCCCGCAGGGCCCTGCCAGGGAGACTGGTGATCAGAGAGGCTCCACTTGGGTGGCTGAGGTTGGGCAGGAGGAAGGTGGGGACATGAAAGTTGAGAGACTGACCGGTTGGAGATGACGATGGCGTCATTAAACTCGCTGCGACAGTTGTGGCGGAGGGCAGTGCGGCCCCCATTGGTGATGACTGCGTTACTGCCATGCAGCTGGTGGAAGCGCAGGTCAGAGCCCCCTGCCCCTGAGGATGGAGAGCTTGGAGACACCTGGTTATTCCCCTCAGGAAGTGATTCAGGAACTGGAGACACCTCTGTAAAAGTGGACATCATCACCCATTAGATCTCTAAGTGTCTCTCAGACCTCCCAAGGCCACCCTAACCCCCGGCCCCAGCCTAGCCCGGCCCTCACCCACGTCGTCCACAATGGTGGCCTGGGCCGCCTGGCCATAGAGATCGACGACAGCATAGACGCCCGGGGGCACGTTCCAGGCAGCAGGGCCCTGAGTCATCCCATTGACAAAGAAGTGGAGAGTCCCGTCCTCCCGCCGTACCACGCCCACCGTGTCCCCTGCCTTGGAAGAAGGGGGTGCTGGAGTGAGGAGTCAGGCAGAGTTCCTGCCGGGGCTGGTCCTGCATCAGCCCTGTGGTGTTTGTGATGCCTGCTGTGGCCGCCAGGCAGCGCACCCACTTTCCCACCTTGAGGCGGTCCAGGTTGTGCCCGTATTCATCCAGGATGGTCGTCCCATTGTGCATCACCCCATTCCCAGTCATCATCCAGGTCCCTGGGAGGACAAGGAGCAGTAGAGGACATGAAGGGAAAGGAAGGGCTCCTCTCCTTTCCATAGCAGCCCTCACAGAACTCCTGAGCCCACAGCCCATCTTGCCTTTTCTTTGACGACTAGCTTTCTTCCCTGAGCAGGACAAGAAAACTCTGCAGCTTCCAAGACAGCCACAGCCCTGCCCACGGGGCACTCTCTAGCCACTGAATGAGTGCTCACAAGAGTGACAAGTGAAAAAGAAGCTGGAGAACAAGTGCCAGGGCTTTGGGGACAGCTTCCCCCCAAAACCCTGTCCTGGCCCTGCCCTTCCTGGGAGCTCACCAGAGCGCAAGTTGGTCATGGTGGAGGGCAACTGGAGGTAGGCAGGGTTGTGGGTGGTGACACCAATTTCAATGGAGCCAGCCCATTTGTCCACCATCTTGTCGATGCGCACCTGGAACACCTCTCCATCCCGCAGGGCTCTGCTGCTCAGCACCACGCCGTGATTGAAGTCATCGGTGGCACTGAGGGAACAGAAAGTGGAGAGTCAGATCCCCAACACACGCTCTCAACGTGCCAAGGCTTAGCCCAGCAATGCCTGCCAACATTCACGGCCCCAAGCCAAAGAACTCAACCTCAACCTCCCTCCCCACCAGGCTGCCCCCGCCAGGCTCCCTCTGCCTTCTACTTCCGTGCCCTGCCTCCCTCCCATTAGAACCCCTTCTTCAGGCTTCTCCCCACCCCATGGGCCATACTGGGGCCTCAGGGCAGTGCGTCCCTCGTGGGTGATGGCTGCCTTCTGCCCACAGTTGGGGTGGAAGAGCAGGCGCTCAGGTTCTGCCTGAGCGGCAGGGGCAGCACGGCGGAGAGCGCCCTCGGGGGACAGCGCCCGCAGGATGGCGTTGTTGCGGCGGAGACGGTCACTGTGGTTGTTATTGTGGACGATGGTCACCTTCACAGCCATCCCGTACAAGTCCACCACGCCATACACCACTGGGGGCGTCAAGGGGGTTGCCACTCCTGTTGCAGGAAGGTTCGGGGGTGTGGGAGTGGGCAGGGAGAATAAGGGGAGAAAGTCAAACACGGAGACCAAGCACCAAAGAGAAGCAGGAGGATGAAGTACAGCCCCCAGTCCCAGCCTCACCGAAAGCCCAGCCCAGAGGCCCTCTCTGAGCGACCCTTACCCTGATCGATACCATTAATGAAGAAGTGCAGGGCAGAGTTGGACTTCCTTGTGAGGCCAATGTGGTCACCCTCCTACTCAAAGAAGACGAATAGTTCAGAGGAGTCCCGAGGCCTGCCGAGCACCCCACTCCACACAGGAACAACTCCAGAAGGCATTCGCCAGTCTCAGACCATCCTGGAGGACAGGTCCTGGGTCCTTGTTTTCCAGACATGACAGTTTCTACATTTCCTCAATGCTCCACGTGAGTCAGGCACTGAGTTAAACCACCTCACAGACATCAGCTTCTATAAGTCTCAGCCTATGGAATGAGTACTACTTGTAGGCTCATTTTAGAGATTGCAGGGGCTGGGGGAGCAATGAAAGAGGATAAGCTTCTTGCCTCGGTTCGCCACTACAAAGGGGAAAACAGTAAGAGGAATTCAACCATCTGACTCCAAAATCTGAGTGCTGAACTCTTGGGCAACTCTGCCTTCTCGGAAGGAACCTTTAGGTAGAAGATACAGGGACTGGCTCTAGGTCACACAGGAGACCCTGCTTGGTGCCCTGGCAGGGTCACAGAGTACCTGTGGCTCTGCTGGAAAGTGGTCCAAGGATCTGTGTGCCACCCTCACCTGCAGCTCATCCAGACTGAATTCGCAGTACTCCCGGCGGGTGCCCTTGCCATTGGTCAGGATCCCACAGCCGCTCATCATGATGGTGCCTGGGTGATGGTGGACACGCGGGTTCAAGTACGGGGCTTCCTTCCCCTCAGCAACACCAGGCCTGCACCCCCGCCCCTGCCCAGGGCTGGTACCTGACTGGAGGTTGGTCATGGTGGCTGGGTACTCCAAACTGTTGGGGTTGTGGGTGGTGACCCCAATCTCAATGGAGCCTGACCACTTATCAACAAGCTTATCGATACGGATCTGGCATTGAGGGACAGAAGGGAGAAGCAGGGAATGTAAATGCAGAAAGAGACCTTCAGCCCTTGGTTCTTCCCCAGGGCCCACCCTCCTAGCGCCAATGGTCGAGCCCCATCTTTAGCTCCCAGGGGTAAGGCGCCAACCAGACCACAGGACTTTGCACACCTCAAACATCTCATTGTCCCGAAGTGGGCGGTTGGTCATGACAACCCCATTGTTGAATTCGTCCAGGGGCCGCCGGCGCTCAGCCGTCTTATTATTGTTGCTGAGTTTGATGAGGGTTCCGCACTTTTCATGAAAGAGCAGGGCATCGTTGGAAGTGAGAATGGGTGAGGTGGCAGCACCGCTAGACCCCAGGCCTTCCCCTGCTGGCGGGGAGCTCAGGTTCACATTCAGAAGCCCTCCATTGTAGGCAGACAGGATGGTGTTGCTCACCACCTCAGACAGCTCCATGCTGGCAAAGTCTACAGCAGCAGGATGGAAGAAGAAAGCTGGGAAGTTGGGATGAGGCTCTATACCCCCAGACCAGGTGCCTCTCTCCCTGCCCCTTCTCCTGAGGGCCCTCCCTTGTCCACCTCACTTCCCACTCCCCTTCCCAGGGCCTCCCCAAAGCCCTCACCATTATGCGACTCAAGGCTGTTAGGAAACGTCTCCGGCCGGGCCTGCGCTGGGGACACCATGAAGGCTGGGGACCAGGTGGGATGGGAGGGGAATAAGGGTTCAGTCCCTGCTTCAGGGCCCATAGCCAGGAGACCCCCCCATCCTCTAGCTCCTGCTTTCCCATTCAACAGACTTGGGGATCAGGGTGGCCCTGCCCACACCCAGCCTGTCTTGTCACTGTATTTCCCCCATTCTGTCCCCAGCCCACCACCACTGCCCTAGCCGTGTTCTCACCTTCATCAGCAGAGGTACCCTGTTCAGCCAAGGCAGAGTCTTCAGTGGGGGCCAGGGGCTCAAGGGGAGGTGTGGGGATGGGAGTAGGGGGGCTGAAACCTGGCTCAGGGGGTAGCACGGTGATCTGGGTGCACTTGCCATAAAGGTCCACAACGGCCCAGACACGAGGGGGCAGGCCTGTGGCGGCCACACCGCAATCCCGCCCATTCACCCAGAGCCGAAGCTCCCCAGCAACTGTGCGCTCCACACCCACGCGGTCCCCTTCGCCAAGCTGGTCCAGGTCCTGACCATACTCCTCCAACACAGAGCGTCCATCTCTCAGCACAGAGCAGCCCGATACTACCCACGAGCCCCCCTTCAGCCCCGTGGCACTGCTTGGAAAGTCCAGCACACTGGGGTCCAGCGCTGTCACCCCAATCTCAATGGAGCCACTCCAGGAGTTGACCTGGGATAGGGGTATTGGACAGAGACTTAGAATGGGCCACCCTCCATTCCACAGGCCACCATATCTTCCCACCTCTCAGACAGCTAGCTGGCTTTTTGTCTCTTGGAACACTAATCCACAGATGCAGACAGTGATTTTCTGGACTCTGTCTCAGAAATTATTTGGGCTTTCCTTTAGCAACTCTGCTCTCTACTCAGTGTTTACTACACCACTCCTTTCCAAGCCAAGCACGAATTCCTTGGTTCCAGTCTCCTGCCTCCTCTAACTTCCCTAGTCTCTATGGCTCTCCAACCATCCAAATTCACCTACTTCCTATACCCACACTTCTTGCTCTTGTGTATCATTCATTCCCTTCCCCTGGCCTAATTCTCTCCAAGGATCAGGCTCTACCCAGATTTAACCTCCTCCCAGGTTCTTTTTCTGTGAGCCTGACCTCTTCACTGAGTCACACACACCTCCCTCACCCTGGATTACTTCTCCTCACCTATCTTTCTGGCACAGCCTGTGAGTGTGTCATTCAGTGGTTTGTTCTTTTTTTTTTTTTTAGACAGTCTCACTCACTCTGTTGCCCAGGCTGGAGTGCAGTGGCATGATCTCGGCTCACTGCAACCTCTGCCTCTCGGGTTCAAGCCATTCTCCTGCCTCAGACTCCTGAGTAGCTGGGATTACAGGCGCGCGCCACCATGCCTGGCTAATTTTTGTATTTTTAGTAAAGACGGGGTTTCACCACGTTCGCCAGGTTGGTCTCGAACCCCTGACTCTAGTGATCCGCCTGCCTCGGACTCCCAAAGAGCTGGGATTAGGTTTGTTCGTTCCTTGGTATCTTTCTTCACTTGTCATCACATCTCTGACATCTCTCCATCCTCCATGCCCAAGAAATTGTACCAGGAGGTCTGTTCCCAGCCATTCTAGTGGGTTAGCCCTCGTGTCCCTTCCCTGGTTCTGGATCTTGAAAACACTCAAGCTCTTAATGTCTTCTTCAAACTGAATGTTTCTGCTTCACGCTGTCTTCCCGTCCGCCCCCTGGTGCTCTATGTTCTTTCTGTTCCCTCTCGGTGCCCGGCGATGTGGGCTATCCTGGCTGTCCTACCCCGTCTCCCTCTAGTCCCCTCCCACCACCCTCCACATCTCGGTTCCGCGGTACCAGCGCTGCACCTTGCGGTCGATGCGGACGGTGAAGATGCGTCCATCGCGCAAGGGTTCTCGGCTCAACACCAGCCCGTGGTTAAACTCCTGGCCCGGCTGCTGCCGCCGCGCTGTACGCCCACAGGCCGACAGGCTCACCAAGCGCCCAGTGCGTGGGTGCAGCTCCCCGCCGCTGCCCAGACCCCCGTTGGACCCCGGTCCTGAGCCGCTCCCGCTAGGTCCCCCACCCCCGCCCGGCCCCGGTCCGGGGCCTCCCCCAGAGCCCCCACTCCCACCCGACCCCGCCGCCATCTCCGCTGACACCGGGGCAGCGCGACAGCCGCGCTTGGCGGCACCGTGGCAACCGCGGCGGGCAGACACTCTGAGGGATACGACCAGGGGCTGAGGCCAGGTATGCTTTACGGCACTGCCGGGCAATGAAGCAGCCCGTGCTAGGAGCTGGGGACGACCACGGTGAGAAGGACGACGGGGTCGGGAGCCTCGCTTTACGGCATAGCGAGGTGATGGACTGGCTCCGAGGGGTACGAAGACTTGGGCAGGGAGCTTTTGCGACAGTGGGAGGAAGACACGCCCACCGCAGGCATCTTTACGACGGTGGGGTACAGGAGCCCAAACACTTTCTGCTTTGCGACAGCGGCACCGACCACCCTGCCCTCGCTAGGGGGAGGTGGCACCTTGAAGCACTCATTTTACGGCAAGAGGAGGGGGTTATCTCCCCTCGGGATGCACGCTCCAAAGCAGCGTGAGCCGAGTCTGGAGGACCCAGAGAAGCGGTAGTGAAAGTCTAAGTGAAAGTCTCTGCCCGCCACCCCACTGAGACCGAAGTGTCTTGTGACAGCGCCGCAATCCTTCCACTTTGCCTCACACCTCTCCTGATTGGCTGAGCGAGCCGACTGGCGGGGATGGGGGAAGCTCGTTGATGATTAAGTCAAGCCCAGCCTTAACTCCAATTCAACCAAACTATTCCATGTTAAGGCCACAAAGAGTCTAGAGAAGCCCCGACAGGCAGTTTCAAGCGACAGCGCTGACGACCCCAAAAGATCTCCCCTAGAGCTAGTCACAAGCGCCCAGCCCACCTCCCCGACGCTCACGCTCAGGCTTGAGGACCGTGACGTCACAATCGAGGCTTCTTGCCCCCTGGCTTGGTCCCCTGACTGGGATTGGCTGGTTTGGATGAGGGTGGTGATGGAGAAGGGCGGGAACAAATTGCCCAGACAAAGACAGTCTTTGGGTGGGACACAAAAGAAAGGGCCGAGCGGAGGGACCCCCAGCCCGAGTCTCTATATAGCCTTGATTCCGCTCGCCGCAGCTCGGGAGCAGGGGAGAGGTGGACCCGGGACTGAGCCCCAGCATCCCCCGCCGGCAGCGGTGGGGGCGGGGCCAGGGGCGGGGCTACGTGGAGCCGGTAGGCGGGGCAGGATCGCTGAGAGCGGCCCCCAGGTGGGGCTATGGAGAAACTGGAGTCCCTAGGGGCGGGTGGCGGCCTCAACCGGGATTGCCCCTGGAGGGGTAGCCACAGGAGTTCCCGCAGCGGTCACAGGAGCCGAGGCAGGCGCTGGGCAGCCCTCCGGAGTAGTCCTGTTTCACGGTTCTGGGCCCCGCGTGCACTCCAGGGTCTCCGTATCTCGCGGTACTGGTTCAAGCTGGCCCTCCGGGGGGATAGTGGCCCTTGGTTCCAGGCCCAGTCAGCACCTAGGGGAGGTTGCGAGCCACAGCCTTGGGTCTGGCACAAACCCTGGTGGATTCAACATCCCCGAGCCTCGAACCAGTGTATCCAGGACTTCCAGCCCTGGGCCTGGGGGGCCTATAGGGCAAGAGGTAAACAGTCCCGGGTGCAGTCCGCCCTCTGGATCAACTTGCTTGAACCCCCAAAACTCCCAACAGGACCGGCCCCGGAGCATCCTACGAAAGAACAGCTCCAACTTGATGCAAAAATCCCCCAATGTGGAGAAGTAAGGAGCCCAGCTCTGTGGGCAGGCAGCCCAGAGTCGGGAGGGTTCAGGACACTGGAGGATCAGAGCCAGAAGGAAAGGGGCAGAGCCTTAAGAACGAAGAGTTAGAGTAGGTGAGGGCAATTGAGTCGGAAGTCCGAGTTTCCAGGCCTTCGGGAGAGGAGCAGGTGCCCCATAAACCCTGGCTGCACAGGACTGTGATTATCATTAAGTCTGACCCCATCCCCAGCCTCAACAAGAAGGTATAAGAAAACTGTTTTGAGGCCCGGTGAGGTGACTCACGCCTGTAATCCTAGCACTTTGGGAGACCAAGGCGGGCAGATCATCTGAGGTCAGGAGTTTGAGACCAGCCTGGGCAACGTGGTGAAACCCCATCCCTACTAAAAATACAGAAATTAGCCTGGCGTGGTGGCAGGCGCCTGTAATCCCAGCTACCTGGAAGGCTAAAGCAGGAGAATGGGTTGAACCGGGGAGGCGGAGGTTGCAATGAGCTGAGATCACACCATTGCACTCCAGCCTGGGAGACAGAGCAAGACTCCATCTCAAAAAACAAACAACAACAAAAACTCTTTTGAAGGCCACGCACGGTAGCTCACGCCTGTAATCCCAGCACTTTGGGAGGCCGAGGCAGGCAGATCACAAGCTCAGGAGTTCGAGACCAGCCTGACCAAATAGTGAAACCCCATTTCTACTAAAAATACAAAAATTAGCTAGGCGTGGTGGTGTGTGCCTGTAATCCCAGCTACTCAGGAGGCTGACACAGGAGAATCACTTGAACCCACGAGGCCGAGGTTGTAGTGAGCAGTGATTGTGCCACTGCACTCCAGCCTGGTCAACAGAGTGAGACTCCGTCTCAAAAACAAAAACAAAAAACAAACAACTGTTTTGAATGACTGGGAAAATGAGGGAGGCCTATAAGGAGGGGGGTCACTAGAAGGTCCAGCCCCAGAAGGAAGCCTCAGCATTGGGATTAGATGAATATCCTGGCCACCTACCTCCCTGCTGACAAGGACTATGGATTTATGACAGTGGATGAGCCCAACAGTCCTTACCACAGGGGCTAAGCCCTCAGCCCCAACCCTTCAGTCCAGAGATTCTTCTCTGTTTAAAGGAGGGGACAGGTGGAGGAGGCAGAGAGAGCTTTAGGGACTGGATACTGCCTGACCCCCCACCTCCCAGCGCTGCTTCCCCCTCCTCTGCAGGCTGCAGGACAGTTTTGAGGACCTCTCTGCTGGTTCCTCCTGCTCAGTGAATCCTGGAGTGCTGGCAGAGAGGTGAGAGTCCTGCCAGAGAGCAGCCGGGGTGTGGGGCCTCTTTCCTCCCTTCAGCCCTGAATTCAGGTCTGCAGCTGGTCTGCTTTTTGACGCCCACAATGGGAGTTGCTACAATTTCCATCAGGCCTGGATGGGGGCGGGGGTCCGCCAATTTGGCCTCGTTTACCACCTGTCCCCATTGCTATTTTCTTCTCTCGATGCCCCCACTAGTCTCCTACACCTTCAAGATTGCCATGACGGACAGTATCTGCCCCAGGTTCCACCAGGACTGTGCTGACAGGAGCTCGGGGCCTGCAGACAACTTTTCCAAGACACATGATGTAGGGTCCAGCCCTACGGAGCTTAGCAAGTGTTCTCCCTGTGTGCGAAGACGAGAGATTGTAATAAATAAAGACACAAGACAAAGAGATAAAGAGAAAGCAGCTGGGCCTGGGGGACCACTACCATCAAGACGCAGAGACCAACAGTGGCCCCGAATGGCTGGGCGCGCTGATATTTATTACAGGCAGGGTAAGGAGGGTGAATCTTCTAAGTGATTGACAAGTTGAAGCAAGTCACGTGATCACAGAACGGGTGGGCCCTTCCTTTTAGGTAGCCGAAGTAAAGACAGAGAAGGCAACATACGTCAGCGTTTTCTTCTATGCACTTATAAGATCAAAGACTTTAAGACTTTCACTATTTCTACCTCTATCTACTACGAACTTCAAAGAGGAACCAGGAGTACAGGAGGAACATGAAAGCGGACAAGGAGCATGACCATTGAAGCACAGCACCACAGGGAGGGGTTTAGGCCTCCGGATGACTGCGGGCGGGCCTGGATAATATCCAGCCTTCCACAAGAAGCTGGTGGAGAAGCGTGTTCCCTGACTCCTCCAAGGAAAGGACACTCCCTTTCGCAGTCTGCTAAGTAATGGGTGTCTTCCCAGGCACTGGCGTCTCTGCTTGACCAAGGAGCCCTCAAGCGGCCCTTATGCGGGCATGACAGAAGGCTCACCTCTTGCCTTCTAGGTCATTTCTCACAATGTCCCTTTAGCACCTGACCCTACACCCGCCGGTTATTCCTAGGTTATATTAGTAGTGCAACAAAGAGTAATATTAAAAGCTAATGATTAATAATGTTTATAATAATGACCGATAATTGTCCATGATCATCTCTATATCTAATTTGTGTTATGACTATTCTTATTCTACCTATTTTCTTTATTATACTGAAACAGTTTGTGCCTTCAGCCTCTTGCCTCGGCACCTAGGTAATCCTTCTCCCACAACATGAGATGAAGGGTTAGGGATTGAATGGAAAGGGGGAGGTGGAGCGAGTCTTTGGCAAGAGTGTGGTGGGAAAGCCAGGCTCTCACCACGGTCACAGACTCCAGTGACTTTGACAAGTGCCGCAAGGCACACTATGACAAAGGGAAGTTTCTCAAGGCTGAGAAAAACTGGCCCTTGGAGGATGAAGAGGACAGCAATGGTGGTATCAGTATCAGCGGTGGCAGTCAAAGTGTGATGCTGGACCCAGAGCCCAGGCCTGTGCAGAGAGGCTGGGCAGGAGAACCAGCCAGAGGAGCCAAAGATGAGCCAGGCCTGGTCACCCAGAAGCACATCCTTGAAGCCCAGGGTTAGCGACGGGAGGGCTGCAGGGACTAGAGGGGGTTGTATTCCAGAGGAGCCCGTTCCTCACTTCTCTACCACAGTCTGTCTTCCTCAGTGGCCATCAGCCCAAGACTCTGCTGCCTGACAGGGAGGTAATGCTGGGAAGTGACCCCAGGGAAGAAAGAGGGCAGCTGGAGAAAGGACCCCATTCAGGATAGCCCCCCGAGATTATTGGCTGTTGAGGAACAGAAAGTCTGACTGGGGGCTGGTTTGCTGGCCAGGCCGGGTGGTTCACTTCCATAATCCCAGCACTTTGGGAGGATTGCTTGAGGCCAGGAATTCTTTTTTTTTTTTTTTTTTTTGAGACGGAGTCTGGCTCTGTTGCCCAGGCTGGAGTGCAGTGGCCGGATCTCAGCTCACTGCAAGCCCCGCCTCCCGGGTTCACGCCATTCTCCTGCCTCAGCCTCCCGAGTAGCTGGGAGTACAGG